TTTTACCTATCCACTGTAAAACTCGTAAACTGCTGAAAATTCACCTTTTGGGTGCATAAAGCTTTTCTTGACTTGACTTGAAAGCATACATGACTAAGATATAAGCCGAAGAAGAACCTATTCCGGTCCTTCAAATGCGGGGAACTTGAACTCAAGTATTTGGAGTTATTTGAGTAGGTGAAATCCTTTGATCGCTGCTTCGATACAAATGGCAGTCAGCAGACCGAGTTAGGTAGGTAGGAACATCCCCAAAGAAGATGCTCCAACTTTGGACTCCAGAACCATTAAGCAGAGGTTATACTGAACAAGGGACATGTACAACTACAAAGAAACGAAGGGAGTCAGAACAGAAAAGCAGAAAAAGAACTCATCACACAGGCGAACTGTGCGCTTCATAGAACGGATAAGCCGACCAAAAGTCCAGTAAAACGATCTTTACAGCCAACTGAATCCACTGAAGAAAGCCACTGATTGCATAAGGCTAACACAAAATATGTCAAAACTGTGCGAACTTACTTGGGCAAGTATATCATTCATTGCCTCGCTGGCAACTTTATCCCCGTGGCCAAGTACACGCATCAAACGGAGAATTTTCACCTGAAAAAGCCATGTTATCGCAAATTTTAGTTGAAGGGATATATTCCCCAATCATATGGAAACATTAGCCGGCTACAGTTCAGTTTTCACCTATTAAAACCATCAAGAATGCACTTTCGTGCGCCGGTTTTGGTTGCTGTCTTTTGGCTGCCCATTTGGATAAAAAAGCAGAATGGGAATTGAAATGTTGAGAGCAAATTCAAGCGGAAGATACAGAATTTATAAAGACTGAAGTTGCAAAAATAATGAGATGCATGAACACCACTGTTGCGATACCCAGCCATATCACTCAGAATCTCTAACCATCGGCGACCGTAACCTCGGGGTCCCCAACCAGGACCTATTTGGCCAAATCTCATGGTTAGGGTTTTCATACCCTCATGTCAGGTCCCAATTTAACCGCCCTTGACCCTTTTTCCAACCGCTACCTGCCTTGGTAAAGATTGCGCGCCGAGGCAACCTATTTGGTGACATGCGTAAAATATAACCCAACCAGCGTAATCTATGGAGGTCGACTACTTGCTCCAATGGACAACCGCGATTACCTAAAACTCTGTATTGCTCGATTCAGTTGACGGCAAATCCTTTATGAGTTCGCTCTTTCTCAAAGAAATGCCGCAGAGCTATGTGAACATACTGAGGTCACTCTATTCGCATACTTCTGGTAGCGTAAAGGTCTACGGCGGGCTGAGTAGGTGACTCGTAACTAGCAGCAGTGTTCGTCATGGGGTGTCCTATTTCACTATTCCTGTTCAACTTTGTCAGAGACTAAATACTGGAGAACGTACACAGTGACCTCCAAAGTGTTGGTATTGAATGGGCAGCTGAAGAAATGCTGTGCGACCTAGAGTACCCTGACTTTTCGCGTTCGCCTGTATGGAGGATGTGCAAAGCGCGCTTGATAGACTAGCAAATTTTTTTACTCTGTTTGGCATGCGCTTTGCACCTTCAAAGTGCAAAGTGATGCTGCGTGACGGGGTGTCGCCGAGCCTCACTCTGACGGTCAGGAATCAGCTGAAGTTGACTGTACTTAGGTAGCTGCGTGACCAACGACGATAGTACATCAAAGGAGTCACACCCGCATTTCCAAGGCTCGAGCAGCGTACACGCGACTAAAGCACCAGTGACGTGACGTTTCACTAAAGTTGAAAATTCGCGTATACTGCGCCACTGAACCGACAACCGACAGAGGGAGACGTCCTTGTTTATTATTATTATTATTATTATTATTATTATTATTATTATTATTAGACAAGAACACTTGAAGACGTGTGTATGCACAGTTGAACTGTGTACTCTGTGTTGACCATATAGGTTCGCTTTCTTATCTCGTCCTTAAAAATAGGCCAAAACCCTATCCTCCTTATACATTCTCACTTACGTTGTATGAATTATGAGTTTGGCGGTGATCAGTGAAGTTCGCTCCAGTGTATTTCGCTGTACGATGATGATGAGCGCAACCTTAAAAAGGTGCATAAAGGTATAAAGGAGTGAGGACAACAGAACAGTATGATTAACAGAATAAAAGCTCATGCTGTGCACCTTCGAGCCTTCGATCTAATAGAACTAACAACCTTCACGGACACTGAGTCAAAATCGCATTCTGGAAAAATGTCAAATCACATTCGAAAACGTGAAGTCACACTTACTTGGAGAAAAGGGTCGCTAATCTTGTTCACATCATGATCTGGGGAGTAGCCGGTCATGATCAAATTTTTCAAAGTGCGGACGAGCATTGGTACCAACTGCTATGAAAAAGGAAGGAGAATGAGGTTACACAAGTAAGACGCTGATTGGAATAAATGGAAATCGAAAATTAGTTTTGCTTCTAGGGACAGACGGTAGTTCTCAAGAAAAGTGACGTCTCCGGGAGTGCATGACATGCAAGTTGAAGAGTTTTCTTCCCATAATTTTTAACGAAACCCAATATACATCTCTTACCCAAAAACATCATGGCTTTCGAATTACTTTGGTTCTTTTCTTGCAACACAATTTTGTACCACCATTACGTGCCCCCTTCTTGCTTTTCACTGATGAAAGGTCTTTCTTCCTGTGCTGTTCTGCCAATATACGTTTGCCGCGTATTCTTGTGTTCTGTATTTAGGCTAGTTGGAGGCCTAGCTCCGAATCAAGTTTGTGTATGAAGACCACGTTATAATACCGTAAAGATTATCGTGCTTCATGTGACGAAGTACTACTGAGGTCTCATATGGTGTATTGCTCTTCCGAATTTTCTGGATGAGGCGTAAATGAGCACGATTGCCAAGGACTGGAGCCTCGAAATCACATGGTTAGTAACCGCATAAGCAGTGCTAATTCAAGATATTAAGATACTATATCCATGATTCTTCCAGCGCAGCCTAGAAGATCAATATTATATACAACAAAAGTTTGTTTGTTTTATAGTCGTTGAATACACTGTCATACAAAGAACTTTCGGGAAAAGGGATGCGGTGATTTTA